GTGTGTAGCTTTCTATACCTTTGTCTGAGGTGAGGAGGTGCCCGGTACAATCCCGCCTGTATCTTGCTGTACAGCGCTCGTACATTGGAATCATCGAAGGGTAGACATCCACACAGCAGTGCATACAAAATCACACCTGCAATTGGTCCCACACATAAGAATGAAACATATATAAGCACATGTGTATCAAGAATGCAACGACTGTGAAGTTAACCTGATCAAGAGTTACGGAGCCCCATTACGAAGCGTATCTGAAGACAAGCCGTGGTGCCGGTTTATCATTGATTTGGTTGAGCTACCCACGTCCGAACACTTGGACAAGGAAGGATGCTAACGGAGTGCGTTATTCACATATATTGTTTAATTTAGATTCGAGGTATTTAGCACGTATGCTGTGAGAAGTAAGGATGCCAATGGAGTATATTATATGCGTATACTATTGACTAGATTCGAGGTATATAGTAACTACTTTTCGGCGTACAATGTGAGAAACCGACGGGGAAAGGGGTATCGGCCATTGCGAGCGCGTGGGTGGAAACACAATGTACACGTGATACACAGAACACAACACTTAGGCATGCAATGTAGGTAACAAAAGATGTGGGTATAAGACACTTTGGTTGTGGGCGGTGAAGCTTGATTGGCGACTAGACATACATGCAGACATAGGCCTATGCAATGGCAGGGGCATTTAAATCTTGCATACATGCACAAACGTCAAAGCATATCCTCAGCCACGGGCAGTGTTAATTATCATCCGATACATTTGACGAACCAATTTTCATAAGGCCAGAAAAGCAATAAAATATAGTGCTCTCATCGCCACCAAGCCTAGAATAGGTACATATACACAAGCAACGAACTGACATAGAGCATTATTGGTGTATAGCGATAAACCCAAAACAGACACGTATGTACAACGCTAATATTCGCATAGGTTTCTGGGGATAATACGGAATTGAACACGTTAACGCTCGCACACCACACTATAGACACACTTTAACCGCTGTCTTTACGTTGGAGATATATATGGAACCCAAAAGTATACAGCCTCAACCCTACTTTATATAAATCTATAGACATATACGTAAAATGTAACAGTTTCTATCAACCATACGTATTGCCAACAACGCACCTATGCTCCACATGTCCACCTCAGGGCCGCAGTACTTGCGCCCCCCCACCATTTCCGGGGCTGCGTAAAAGGGTGAGCCACAAAACGTATCCAGAAGCCCATCGTCAGAATACGTATTACTGAATCCAAAATCAATGATTTTGATGTTGTTATTGGCATCCAGCAGCAGATTCTCTGGTTTCAGATCGCGGTGCACTATTTGATTCTGAAAAAATAAATACATAAAACCCGAATAGATTAATGAGAGCGGTGGGACAAAGTGAACAAACCTCTGGACAACTACCGAGCAGAAGGCAGCTACGGGCACTGTGAAGTCCTAGTATTGCACTCATACGCTTTGACAGCGTGAAAAGGGTGTGTGTAGTGGGCAAACTAACAGGAGCTGGATGCACCGGATCAGAGACATACATCGAAAACAAACCGTGGGTCAAAACACAAGACACATGGGATTTTTATTTCGTGCACCCAACATCTGGTGACATGGTACGCATTTGTTGGTTAGCTCTGTATGCGGTAACTCGCGCGCAATCCACTCAGATAGTTGCGAGCTTCAAGGAATAGCTAGCCAATCCCACACAGGTGACGTGCACGCAGAGACACTGCAGAGCGTGCATAGACCCCTCGTACATGCGTGTGTGCATCAGTCTGGATTGGAGTGAATAGCTACAGAGGCGATGTCTGTCAGGACTACAACTCTCGAGGTGAGCAACACAGTAAACAACGGGGTTAGGATTTAGGGATTAAGGGGTTTGGAGAAAGCGACAGCGCGTTCTACTACCGTATCTGGCCCAATGAGACCAGAAACACACCACATAACTAGCTACATATACCTTCGTTTAAAAAGCAGACACTGCTACATCTGGCCTACTTAAGTTATATGACAAAGACTTTCACAATGCTTCCTGGCCAACTCCATTCTTTTAACACACAACTCACATACCCCGTGACAATAGTCTATAGCGGATATAATTTGCCTCAGAAACTTTCTCGATTCTTTTTCTTTGACCTGCGTAGCAAATAGGAACAGTTTCTCTTTGAATTTAAGCTGTGTCAGACTTTGTTTTCTCTTTCAACATGAAGTAAAGTATTTCTTATAAGGGCACGTAGATATCTTGTAAATGTAATTTCCAGGGAGAGGTGAGAACAGGAACTTATCGTATTCATCGCATATATACATCCATGTTTGCGAACTGAAACTATATAATCGATGAATACGTTTCATACTCAACATAAAAGCTTACTCGTGGATCAGCATGAACGCTTTGCATGAACAAAATCACGTTATAGGAGCGAAGTGTGCTTCCCTAAATAGCGGACAACAAAACATGTATATGATTGAATATATATTCAGTTTCTAGTATATGTCTATTGGATACAGATACAGATACAGATACAGATATAGATATAGATACAGACACAGATATATATATATATATGTACATGTATATCCATATATAAAATGAAAATTATAAATATTCATACAAATAAATACATTCATAAAATATAAATATTCATACATATAATACATTTATTAAAATATAGATATTCATACCAATATAAATATATATAAAGGAATAAATATTCATACACACCCTTTGTCGTGCCCATCCAAAAAAAGCAATTTGTAAACTGCGGATCCTTCTTAACACTCAATTCCCAATTCGTTTAGTACACACCTGACGGTGGGCAACAATGTAGTCGAACAATTCGCCACCCTCAGCATATTCCATAATCAGGATGATTTCGGATTGTGTATCGAGGATGTCCTCCAATTTCACGATATTTGGGTGGTCTGAATAATAAAGTGAGAACAATGGAATATGAGGCGAATTCGGCATGCTGACTCGCACACCGTATTGACGGCAATTTGTGCGTAAAAGAAGATAGTTTGAAGGTAATTTATGTGTATGAAAATGCGATTCAAAAGCAAGTTGTAAATATGAAAAATATGATTTGAAGGCAATTTGTGCGTATGTAAATGTGATTTGAAGGCAATTAGTACGTATGTAAATGCGATTTGAAGGCAATTTCTGCGTATGAAAATGGGATTGGATGCAGATCTCGACTACTACACAGCTGAGGACAGACGATAAAAACTTGTTTCGACTATATGTACAAACTGGAAGGAACAGAACAAATTTATAGTGCCAGCTATCCTTGCCTAACCGAAAGTGTGGAAGGGCATATACCTGTTGTACTGTGCCAGTCCACACGCTCGCATGCACGGAAAAGACGTACTAATACAAAGCCAACTATGTGCAAGGAAGATTGTGTACGTGTAAGTATATGCATACGTATACATGTCTATCCACAACAAACTGGTGCCTACATACCTAATAGATGCAGTGCTGCGATCTCCCGATTGACTCGGGTCATGTGCTTTTCATTTTTGATGTTTTCTCGTTTGATGAATTTGACAGCCACCTGCCGTTGAGAGTGAGGCCAATTGGTTTGGTTCGTTAGAAAACAAGCATACCAAACATACAACAACGTGCGTAAGCAAGATATACTTTGGAGCCTTGTGCGGGTGTGTGTGTGTATCTCTTGCACATGCATATGCGATGCGAGAGCGCTCTGAATCCGCACAAGTGCGTGCAATCACCTAGTGCCGGTGCATATACATGTACAAGTGTTTGCTCGACTTCCTTATGTTGGAATATGCTTGGTATGTGATGCACATGTATACATGTATGTGAGTGTTCTGTAAACAGCAAACCATAATTTGTATGAGTACGAAATAGTTTTCAATGTTGTAGGCCAGGAGATGTTCTCAGTGTGAGATGGCAAGTACATAGTCACGTGTACGATGTGCATCCAGTGATAACAAATAATACACGCAATGGCACTTCCACCTAGACATATGCTATATCACAAATGCAATGTGTCTGAACTTACACATAGGTATATATACAGATATAGATAAAATATAGATAGTTAGATAGATATATACTTATATAGATAAATATATATATATATATATATATATATATATATATGTGTGTGTGTGTGTGTGTG